TGTAGACTAAAATGGCCTTAAACTCACAGGGATTTGCCTGTGTCTGCCTCCTGGATGCTGAAATGTTTGCTTTGATTCTTGGTGTGAAATATGAATGTTCACTCTAGAAATGTGTTCTCATATTACAGTCTTACAATTTCAGCAGGATGTGGTTACTCTATTCAAGTATAACAAGAATAGTGATTTAAGAGAAAAAATGTGTCCCAGTGGCTAACGTAATTAAATGCTTTGTACCCAGTTGTTTCTGATATTTGAGGAAGTTATGGAACTTTTAAGATGTGGGCTTGCTGTAGGAAATACGTCCCTGGGAACAGGCTTTGAGAGTGAATGGCCTCACTCCATTTCTAGTTCATTCTCTCCCTTCCTCTCTGCTTCCTATGTGACAAAATGTAATCAACCCACTTCCTTCTCTGGTTGTCTGCTGTCATGCCTTCCTCACCATTATGGATGATACCTCTGAAACAATTAGCCAAAATAAACTTGCACTTCTGAAAGTTGCTTTTGGCCATGTGTTTTATCGTAGCAACAGAAAAGTGACTAGTACAGTGTATGGAATCACATACCTTTTGCTGAATGCCATTTTAATAGCAGTTAAACTTTAAGAGTGTTTGAAGAGTTTCCATTGGCTTTGTTGATCAACCTTGAGTGCTATTTGGCCCCTGGTGGGGATACCTGGTTTCCCATACCCGGCTTCCATGTGTCTTGGTGGAGAATTGCTGTATGGATTCCTTCTATTTGTCCCTCAATTTCATTTTTTAAGTGGAGAGGGAAGAAAATAGGAAGGTTTTGGGGGCTGCAGCCACAATGAGGACCCTTGAGCCAGCATGCTTGCTGTGCTGAGCCCCTCATTTACTTGCCTCAATGTCTCTCTGATGGGGTGAAGGGGCTCAGCTGTGGGATCAAAGATATTTTAAGAATGATGCTCTTGTTCCAGATGAATCTCTCATGGGAAGTTGGCATTCCATCTCATCTCTGAATCTCCACATGTTAAGGGGATGCCTCTCATATCAGCAGAGTATGCTGCGCCAATTTTCAGTTTACAAAAGAAGTCTGAATCTTCCATCTCATGAAATATTCTTATATGCCCTTTTAAAGAAGAAAAGACTTGGGTGTTTCTTGTGTCCAGGGATAATAATTACTTTTCTAGTCTTATCTTATGGTAAGCAACTTGATGGTGGGATTGCTTGTTGGGGCTCATGGTTTGAGGGTATGTCCATTTTGGTAGAAGGGACACAGTAGCAGTAATAACTTGAAGCTATGGGGCTAAGAACCTGAGGCTACTTGTTCACATTTCTGCAGACTAGGAAACAGAACAAGAAAGTGGGTGCTCTGTAGCAGAAATCTTAGATGGTATTATTAATAAAATCAAACCTGAGCCAGGTATTGGGGTAAACTGGAAGATCAGAGAACCAGAACAAGTCATACCTAACCTCACCTGGCCAACTTCTCAGCTGATCTTGTTTCCTCAGACTGGAAGCTTCTGTGTCATCATCCCAATGGCTCTTAGCTAAACTGCTGCTCGAAAGCCTGAAGCTTAACTAGCTAAAAGCTTCTAGTTTCTGGTCTCCATGCCTTATATACCTTTCTGCTTTCTACCACCACTCCCTGGGATTAAAGGCTCGCTTTCTGGGATTAAAGGTGTGAGTCACCATGCTTGGCTGTATCCTTGAGCAGATGGATTTCTGCCTCTGGAATGCTAGGATTAAAGGTGTGTGCTACCACTGCCTATCCTAAACATCTGGTGGCTTTTCTGTTCTCTGGCCCCAGGTAAGTTTATTAGGGTACACAATATTTGGGGGAACACAATACCACTACAATGCTCAGCTAGCTTTATTTTTTCCTTTTATATCCATTCTGAGACCTCATCTCATGGAATACCCCTACTTATGTTCAGAACTTGTCCCGTATGCTTAATTCATTCTCTCTAGAAAGTCTCTAACAGATTGGGTAAAACTCATTAATGCTGTAGGTGACTTTTAATGCAACCAGGTTGACAATGGAAATTGTCAATGTCTACATCAGAAATTGTATCAGTCGTTGTGTCATTGGAGCTGATAAAAACCTTAACTCTGGTGTCTAATAACATAGATATAAATCAGTCTTTGAATCCTGTGTTTTAATCCAGTCTCTACCACCGATAAACTATGAATTGGGCTAGTATCTGAATTCTCTTGGCCTCAGGTTTTTTGTGTTCATATTACACCTACAAATACCCACATTACATGTTGACTTTAAGAATTAAAGAGAACATATACAAATTTATAAGACATGGTGTAGTTTTAAAAGGCCATAGTAACAGTAAATGATTTTGTGCCTTTTTCTTTCTGAAAGACCTGTCCACTGAGAAGACTCAATAAAGAAATATGTTTCACTTAAAGACATCTTATGATTGTTGGCCCTAAATTTTTGATGTGGTTCATCATTTAGATTCTTGTACCTATTCTCTTTTCTTCTCATGTACATTCTATACATTATGCAGAAACACACACACACACACACACACACACACACACACACACACACATTTTCTAAAATTTCCTACCAGTAACATATTGTCTTTTCTTTAACCCATAGGTAATTACTTGTTCGTTAAAGAAGTGAATGTGTGAAACCATTTTTCATGAATTAAGGCTCTTGTGGCAGTGGCTTGTAATGCCTTCCTTTTTTTAACTTTGCTGTGAAATCTTAAAATATCAGTGTCTTGGGGTTTTTTTTCTACAATAGGAAGAATTATAGCATACTCTTCTAAGATTGATATTTAGAATTTAATAACCAAATATATAATATATGAAATGCTTGTTAAAGTGCCTGAAGCATGTTAAGAATAGTTAACATTGTGCTCATTTTGGTACGAAATTAAATAAATCTTACTCATTGCTTTACAATTGTCTTACAAGGAATTAGGTGAAAATGAAACTTGTAAATAACTCTGATTTAAATTTTGTATAGATAGTCATATTGATACAAAGGTTATTCTAAAGGTAATGTACAAACCATAAAGTTACAAATTTTAAGGCTTAGTATACTTTTTTGATGAATTATCACATTTATATTCATATTTAAACTTAAAAGTATGTTCTAGATTTTATATTATCATGTTATTAGAAACTGCTCCAAAATATTTGCTATAATTAGTACAGAGACATACTTCAGTATTTTTTAAAATGTTACATAGCTTTTACCTGGGATGCCTTCTTTGCCTTATGTCAGTTTAGTATTTAAAAAGCCAGTTGTGCCAAAAATCTGATACCCAACTTGAATATCAGCATCATCCTTATTTACAGTTGTCCTTAAGCAGTATCATTGTTCCTTATTATGGTCAATAGCTCTGTTTACTACTTTTGTTGTCATGAGAGTATGGGATCTGAGGTCAGACTGCCTTGGTTCAAACCCTGACTGCTATATCAAAGGTGAGCTAGAGATGGCATCATGAGAATTTAATGATTCAGTAAAGGAAGAAGGTACTTTTTTTTTTTTTTTTTTTTTTTTTTGGTTTTTCGAGACAGGGTTTCTCTGTGTAGCTTTGCGCCTTTTCCTGGAACTTACTTGGTAGCCCAGGCTGGCCTCAAAATCACAGAGATCTGCCTGGCTCTGCCTCCCGAGTGCTGGGATTAAAGGCGTGCACCACCACCGCCTGGCGGAAGAAGGTACTTTTATGGTGTGTGTGTGTGCCTTTCACCACACACTCAAATTCTGTATTTACAAAGGTATGAATCTGGAAGCTATTTGAGATAGAATCAATTTCAGTAGCTTTCTAATTTTTCTAACTAACATTAGAAATCATTTTTCTTCCAAAAATATGCAAGATAAATCACAATAGATGAAATAATTGTTAATGATTGGCATAGACCCACAAAGCAATAGAATCCACAGACCCACCCTTTTTGCTTACACCAACTCTCCTTCCACTGGAGTGGCCACCTTATCATCTGGACAGAATTGTTACAATTTGGTTATCTACTGACAATGTTCAATCATGAACAAAGAGTGACAAAAACTAACAATGGACTTCATCTAATGGTTGACCACGCTCTTCTTGGCAATTCTTGCCCAGATTCTGTCATGCCATTGTAGTCAGATGATAGTTAGGCCTCAGAGGCCTTGAAGACTTCATTGGTCCACGTCTGATGCATGTCTGGAAAAATCTGGACTGTCCTAAGCATCAGTCAATTTCCATGTAGTATGAGTGAATCACTTTTCCACATTGTGACCTCAAAAACATGGTGCTTCCTACATGACATGTGACCTCTTTCAATGACAGTGTCCTCTCTAAAACCAGTAGAAACCACAAGGTTTTCTGTCCCAGACTCCTGAAAAGCCTATAGCATTTTCTCCCTCCAAAGATCCTCCCATTTTTAAAGGAAACACTATAGATACTGCCTTGTGATACTCCATAAATATGCAGTATTTTAAGGAACCACCAAACCCTAGTGAAGCAAATCTACTTGTCACGTAAAATGGTGACAACAGTGCTGGTCTCAGTAAAAGCTAATGTGTAAAGAAAATAATCTTTAGTGAATGCTGCTTTTAATAATGTTACCTATTAATTCTCATAAAATCATTTGAAGTAGGTCTGTATTTTCATTCAAGGATGTAGCATGAATCTTAAAAGTTCTTATTAATAAAATTAAACCTGTGGCCAGTTATTGGGGTCAATGCTGGTAGATCAGAGACAGAACAAGCCACAGCTAACCTCACCTGGCCAACTTCTCGGTTGATCTTGTTTTCTCAGACTAGAAGCTTCCCATCCCAATGGCTCAGACTGGAAGCTTCCCATCCCAATGGCTCAGACTGGAAGCTTCCCATCCCAATGGCTCTCAGCTGAACTGCTGCTCTAAAGCCTGAAGCTTAACCAGCTAAAAGCTTAACCAGCAAATGCTTAATCAGACTAAATGCTTCTAGTTTCTGGTCCTCATGCCTTATATACCTTTCTGCTTTCTACTACCACTCCCTGGGATTAAAGGCTCACTTTCCAGGATTAAAAGTGTGAGTCACCATACTTGGCTGTATCCTTAAACACATGGATTTCTGCCTCTGGAATGCTAGGATTAAAGGTGTGTGCTACCACTGCCTATCCTTTATGTTTAATATTGTGGCTGCTCTGTCTCTGACCACAGAAAAGTTTATTAGCATGCACAATATTTGGGGGAACACAATACCACACAAGGAGATAGCGTCATAGAGACTGAGTATGGCTGATGATGCAGAAGGTAAAGATGGAGTTATACATCAAAGCTCACATGTTGTCCCATTCTAAGCTCAAGCTTCTGACATGAGAGAGCTATGATCCAGGCATAGCCCAGAACGCTACTTATAAAGCAAACCTAGACACCATTCGTTCTAGCTTCTCTGCCCCACAGTGCCTATCCATCTCACATTCAAACATTCATTTTTTCTTATGAGCCTTCTGCAAACCTGTCTTGACAAACCAGGTTAAGGTGTCACATGCAATTCTCTGTGAAGCTTGTATGAGTTCTTGTCCCTTTGATTTCAAGTCTCCTTTGAAATGACCATCAATAAAATATTATATTGCATCAAAACACAGTATTCATATTTCCAGCCATCTTTGGATTAAGAAGTAACTCATTTTTCATTGGAAATATATTGAAGATGCCATCCCCTTTAACAGTGATAAGAGGATAGGGTTGGCATATGCTTCTCTTTGCTAAGCTTGAGAACCTCTTGCTGCCTTTATTTGGAATCCCAAATGCAGACAGTTTTCTTCACCTAGGTCTTCAGACAGAAGATATCGAGGGAAAATTGAAGCTGGCTGGCTTATCCATCACCCACATTCCCCAAAGTTTCTCTATTCAGTGGCCTGAAATGAATATCTCATGCTACTCAATGATATTGATTAAGGGTTTTGTTTGTTTTTGTTTTTATTTTCAACTTCAGGAAAAATTTCTCTCCAAACTGTTACTATCTATCAGATTCTCACTTGCATCCACCATCCCTTAACTAAGCATGCTCTCTTTCTTTGCTGACTTGTGTCAGTCCATAAGACTGGTTTGAACAATGGACTTCTTAGTCAATAGACAGCCAGGCTGGAGCGGAAATGTAGGTTGGCTGAGGCTTACATGCCTTGCATTCACAATGAGACAAACAAAGAAAATGAGAAATATGGAACCGATTTGGGCCAGACTCTCGACTTAGAGTTCTTCCGCACTTCTCTATTCATATGCCATATGCAAGAGGTATTAATGACTAGCGTCACTTGTTCTGCAGGGTTAAGCTGTCCTTATCATTGTGCTGACAGTCATTTCCCATAGGATTGTTATTAGAAAAACCTGTACTTCAGGCAGTTAGTGAAAATATCTTAGTCTTACTTTGGTTCTTTCCTCAAAAGCATGGCTTTTGATGAATTATTCTAGTTACCCTTCCAAGGGTTGTGTAGGAAACAGGACAGGGGAAACCCATGCAACATTTTTTCATAAAATTCATGCATCCTGAAGAATTCTAAAATTCATTAATAAAAAAGTTATCAAAACCACACAGAGGCCAAACAAAACGCATCCTTCACATCCCTCCATGATATCTCTTAGCCAGATGCTCAGTGCTATGAGGACCAGTACAGGTCATGTCTCTGTCTTAGATCGTAAGGACCTCCTGTCCAAGGTCATAGAAACACTACCATTTCCAAGGGCTTACCTAATATAGGATATGTAATACATGTTCATTCTTTTGACTTCCAAAAGAAGTCTAAAACAATTTGCATTTCTGCTATTTGTCACATCTCTGTTATTCTCCTGTGTGTGTGTGCTTGTGTGTGCCAGTGTTTGTAGATGAAAACATGTTTAATGACCCATGGCAGAGTGGATTCCACTTGATTTTACATTGCATGTACCTTCCCTATAGGGTGCTATGTGGTATACTAAAGATTGGTCTTTGTTAGAAGGGGTTGAAAATGTTGGCATGCTTGTCATTGTTTGCTAAAATCTCCAAAGTCAATTACTAATTATAAGAGCTTGTAACTTTAGGTACTTAGCTGATGAATTCAATTGAACTGTCAGCTTTTTCAGAGTAGCCTGGAAATACAAAGAATCTCCAACCTAATTGCTTTAATTAATGAATGCGGAGATAAGACAACCCACAGAGAGAAATGCTGCAATCTCTCCAGTGTTAGTGCTACCCGTGGGAGCGGACTAACAGCAATCAGTTCTCTATGGATGAGCACTTGGAGTATCAGCTGATGCGCTGTGGGATATAGATCATACGTCTGATGTATGGGAATGTGGACTGTGACTGACATATCCCCAACTCAGAAAGGCTTTTAAATTGTTTTGGGAAGCAGGGTTCAAATGTATGAAAGAAGCTGAGAATCCATCTTTTGTAAGTGTATGTAAAAAATAATTCCATGAAATTTTTATTCTGTGGTATTTTGAGGGTAGGATTGGCTCATGGAGACTTTATACTGATAAGTAGCTGAAAAGACAGATAAAAAGAGACTAAGCCCACCTAAGAGGTAAACTACTTTCCTTAAAGTTAACAAATTCTTTCATAACACTTTGCTATTTATTCTTCCCTCCAGAATAGAATATTTGTTAGATAAATGGGTGAATGCACAGATGGATAGATGATAGATAGGATGATAAATAGATAAAAGAATGAGTTTCAATACTGATGACTGGCCGCAAAGCCTCACACTTGCTTAGTAGCTTTCTGAGCCCTAGAATACACTAAAAGCCTTCTGTGTAGAATATCTTGCCCTATCTCTTAATACAGGTGCCTCCTTCCCTTCAGTTAAATCTGAGCTATGGTATTATAATTACCTCCCACTGTCATCTCTAGATCACAGTATTCAAAGGGACCCAAAAATCTTTTAGCACTTACAATCTTCCAATAAATAGTCTTTTAAAATTATATTTATTTTTATTTTTACATGTGTGAATGTTTTAACTGTGTTCATGTAGATATACCACATACATAAATGGAGCCTGTGGAGGCCAGAAGAGGTCTTCTGATTTCTGGGAACTGGAGTCATGGAAGGTTGTAAGCCTCTATATAGCCTCTGGGAACTAAACCCAAATCCTCTGCAAGAGGAACAAGTGCTCCTAACCACTAATCCATTTCTCCAGTTTCACACCTTGACCATATATGGTTATCTCTTACAAGATGTGAGTTCCTATGAACAGAAACTCTACCTTTGTCCATTTGTGAACCTTAGCCTTTCACAAGATGGTGGATATCTTAACACTTTAGTTTGAATACAATCTTTCTCAGGTATAAAGCACTGTAAGTAACAAAAATTAGTCTGGTTAACTTCAGCAGAGGGAAGATGAATGGAATTTTCTCTTGTTAAGCTGTAAAACCCATTTGAGAGCAAGGCAGGAAACAGTCTAAAGAGCTTGATAGCAAACACCTCAATAATGGGCTCCTAGCAGCCAGTGTCTGGTCAAGATGCTACTGCTGAGACAAGGAAATGTTAAACGTCTGTCTTTGGACATTTACAAAATTATCTCCATATAGACAGGAATAACCAGAAGGAAACAAATTATGTCCTGGGGAGGAAAACCACAACATTCTATGTTTTTCAGGGAAACTATGTCTAGAAAATTACTTGCTGTGAGCCAAAGATTGGCCAGATTAAAGAGACTCTCATGGCTCTGATAAGGTGAGCAAGCTAAATGAAGCCAATTAACTTAGCAGCAGATAAGGGCTGAGGCTAAACCCAACCCTGATGCACAGCAGCATTTAAGAACTGGCTGGGCTGCAATGGCTTTAAACATTCAAGACCTAGTGAGAAGATCTTAGGTAATTAATTCACAGTGAATTACTGAGAAAACATAGATGGTGACTGGAGTGTTTACACTGCAGGTGTTTTCATGTTTCAAATACTTTTTAGCATCCATTCTCTTTGTAAAAATGTATACTGTCAGCTGTAGAGTTCAATTATATCTCAAACACAGTTGAATTCTTACTATCTAGTAATCTAGGTGAAGAGATATACTATTTCCCAGTAGACCTTACTTCCTTAACATTGATTTTCATTTTTCTGATACCTAAACTCTGATTGCCTTTCTCATGCAGAAGATTAAAACAAAGCAATGTTTTTGAATGGCTCTGTGTTAAAACCTCTAAACAGGCCATTTGTCATTTTCAGTTTGGATAGGTTCCATAAAAGGAGCTGCTGAGGGCTGTCACTGCAGTGACCATATCAAATAGAGGATGCTTGCTAGCTTTGGATGATAAGATAGCCTGAGAAACAGAAATCAGGGCTGGTGAGATGGCACCTGCCACCCAGTCTGATGACCTGATTCAGCCCCCAGGATCCATATGATGGAAGAACAGAACTGACTTACAAAATCTGTCTTTGGACCTCCCCAGGTACACCGAGGCACATGGTCACCCATATATATACCCATTCAAACTAGATAGGTAGATAATAGATAGATAGATAGATAGATAGATAGATAGATAGATAGATAGATAGATAGATAGATAGATATAGACAAATAGAAAGATAGATGTAGATAGATATAGATATATAATAAAAAGTCTTTTCAAAAATAATTATAAAGCATATATATATATATAGTAATATGAGAAAATAAAAGTTAATATTAAAGTAACAGGTGGTAAATATAACAGATGAGATTCTGGAGCCAAGAAACGTGTGTGTGTGTGTGTGTGTGTGTGTGTGTGTGTGTGTGTGTGTGTGTGTGTTTTCTTTAAATATTGCTTAGTCAGAGGACAAGCATTTAAAACATGACCTCTGGAGGATATTTTAGATTCCTACTATAATACTTGCAAAAGAAATAGGAGAAATATAATAAGAGATTCACAATTTATAAAAATTCTTTTGAAGAATTATACCTGAATACTGGTATAATAAACTCAGTTCAATGTTTTTTTCATTGGTTCCCTGTGTAGTTCCTGACTCTTGCTGTGAGTCCTGCACCTCTGCCTGAGGTGAGTATATTAGGTAACTCTGTCTATATAGGTGTGCCAAGACTAAATGAAGCAGAACTTCAGGGCTCTATGTCCATTCATATTAGTGAGATCCAATCTATGCCCTGGTAAGCCTGGGATTTTGGTCATAACTCCCCAGGGGATAGGAATGTTCATCCAAGTTAAGCAAGCCAGAAAATGACAGTCTTCAGGTCAACCTAGCAGCAATCTGTCTTTAGTAGCCCTTGAGAAAGGCTTGGTGGAGAATGCAGCCCAAATCCATTTCTTCCAAGGGCATGACAAGTGAGGCCAGGCTGATATTGTTAGTTGGGAAGATTTTCTGTAGTATTAAGAAAGAGCTCTGAAGAAGTGTCTGTGGATTAAAGTAAAAGAGCATCAGAAAAGGTGACAGGAAGCCACCAGGGAGGACTTTCCCAGTTAATACCCTGATTTTTCTTGCTTGATTGTGTGTTTTCTTGAAAAATATAATTGCTAAAATAGATACTTTATCTTATGGGATTCTATTCACTCCTAACACAAATAATGTGGGTAATTTGTGATGTTTAGTGTTTCATTTTAGCTAGCAGAAAAAAAGTAAATTTTAAAAGCCTTCAACCAAAGCTGTTTTCTTTTTGGTGGTTCTAAGAGTTGAACCCATGTCCTTGCCTCATACTAGGCAAGCTCTTTACTTCTGAGTTATGTCCCCAGTGCCTTTGCTAACTCTTCATTTTGAGATGAGGACTCACTCGCTTTCTCAGGCTGATCCTAAGTCACTCTTTCATGAGGCAGGCCCTTGTGGTCCAAGCAGATAGGATGGAGGAATGATCAAGTCAAAGGCTCTGTGGGGTTGGTGATCCTGGTGGTAAATTTCCCTTAGATATGAGTAAAATCATTGTCCTTTAAAGTCTATGTTTTTCCATGTCATATAACAGAACTGGACTCCAGTTATGTGAGGCAAAATAAAAGAAGTGGTTGGGAAAAGATAAGTTAGCTGAAGTGTACAAAGTGCAGAGATTGGTTCAAACCTGTCTTGCCTGGGGAAGCCAGCATGCTGAGAATAACTTTCAGAGTCCCAACAGCTGAAGAAAAATAAAACAAAACAAAATGGATAAGATTATGTCTTAACTTATAAAAATCACACACAAACACACACACACACACACACACACACACACACGCACGCACACACACACGCACACACACACTCAAATTCCTGTTCCTGAATGCATGTGCTTGTAGAGTTTCTGTGGCTGTGTTTGAACTGCCACAGTATAGAGGGATAATAACATTGAGACAGTATCACCCGAAAATCCTCACTTCTTTACAGTAAAGTTCACCCATACTTAAGTTACCTCACAGAAACAGACTAGCACCAAGATCTCAGAGATTTTGAAATGAAAATAATATTGGTAATCTATGTAGGAAAGAGGAAGTTACTGTATTTTAGAATGTTACCTTCGGAAACAGTCTCTGACTGACCCTCATCTCTATTTGGCTCATTATTTTATTGTATATTTTTTTATATTTTTATATGTGTGTGTTTGTGTATGTGTGCATGTGGTGTATGTGTGTGTATATATGCCTCTGCGTATGTGTGTTTGTGCCTGTGTGTGTGTGTGCGCGCGCGCGCGTGCGTGCATGCCTGTGTGTGCATATGTGATGTGTTCCTGTATGTACCTGTAGTGGGTAGCCATTCCAGCTTTGACCTGGAAGTTCCAACCCCCATTGAGGCTTCGGTAATGGTCATGCCTATAAGGCAGGGCTGAGGAAGGACGCTGAAGACCTAAGATCCTGACGCGAGGGTTCTCTTGGTTCCTGGACCCTGGACGCTGGAGCTAAACCAAGCAGAGTTCTCCAGAGAACACCACCTGACTGTGCCACACCTTTTCCAGACCCTGTAGCCTATCCCTCACTTGTAAGTTACCCCACAAAATAAGCCTCCCTTTTAACTATGTGGAGTGGCCTTAATAGTTTCACCAATATGTACCTCTGTGCGTGTGTGTATATGTTTGTGTATGTGCTGTGTATGTGTTCATGTTTGTGTGTGTGAGCATGCTTGAGTGCCACAACGAGCATGTTAAGGTCAAAGGACTGTTAGAGGATGTCATTTCTCTTCACCATAATGATCTCTGGGACTGAACTCAGTTGTCAGGATTGGCAAGCAGTCATCTTTACACACTGAGCCACCTCACCAGCCCTGGTTTAGTTTTTATATTCCACAGAAAGAAATCCTGAGTGGCCTGGCTTAGGTTTCTTTCCTGAACCTTGGCTGTGAGATTCTGGGTGGAAAGAAACTTGATTAATGTTCCCATCATGCAGAAAGTTACCAATAGGAACAGATGTTGGCTGGTCTGATCAGGGATGCCAAAATAATATCAGAGTGAAGGACTTGCTTCTTCCAAATTCAACAAAATCTGCTTGCCACCTGGTCACATTAAGAGGCTTGCTGAGCAGTGGTCGGTACACACCTGACATGGTGACCTTGTGTCATTAAGATTGAGTGGATTCACCATTACAGACTGTGTTCACATTCATCAACAATGACACCTCTCATCTTCCCACAGTGTTGAGACCACTGTGATCATACCCAGACATGAGCCATCTCAAGCCACAGTGACAGTGCACCATAGATATTCCATGAAGGGATGTTATAAAGTTTGTTATCATTTTGTAAATGATCTGTTAAAGAAGCTAAACTAGAGAGTCCTGAGTGAGTTTGAAAATGTATCTATGTCTGTCCAAAGAAGTCAAAGGACACAGAATAGGAAACAAGAGACTCTTTCCATTACATTTGCAGGGTGTATCTGACTTTCACTTCCAAGTCTGAAATTTTATGCATGGGTGTGGTTGGAGTGGTGACTGTTCACTGACAATGGAAAGGTCCAGGATAGGCAGTTTGTATAACAAAGAAAAGGTAATATCCAATGATTACTTAAAATAAATGAGACAACTAAGACATTGGTACATTACGTGCCAGGATGAGGGATCATGTTCCTCTGCAATAAATATGATTTCTGCATAGTCTATTCACAATAGGTCTAGTGTGTGTGTGTGTGTGTGTGTGTGTGTGTGTGTGTATGTGTGTGTGTGTGTATGTGTGTGTGTGTGTGTAGTGGTGATTTTGATCATGATAATGATAACAGTGATGATAGTACAATACTTGTTTTCCAAATTTCAGTCTTTTGAGGAAATAGAAATACTTTAGGAGTCATTTGGTGGGCTGGAGAGATGGCTCAGTTGTTAAAAGTACTTGCTGCTCTTGCAGAGGACCTAGGTTCATTTTCCCTGCATTAACAATGGCCTACTCACAAATGCCTATAACTCCAGCTCCAAAGGTCAGAGGTTCTGATGTTTTCTTATGGCTTCTGAAGGTACCAGCACCCAGCACGAATGCTTATACATAACACACACACACACACACACACACACACACACACACACACAGAGAGAGAGAGAGAACACATATATGTGGTGATATTGTGTTCCCCAATGTATTGTGTGCCCTAATAATCTTATTTGGTGTCAGAGAACAGAACAGCCACTAGATATAGAGGCCAGAAAATGGTGGCACACACAAACCTTTAATCCTAGCATTCCATAGGCAGAAATCCCTCTGGATCTCTGTAAGTTCAAAGCTACACTGGAAACAGCCAGGCATGGTGACAGAAGCCTTTAATTCCAGGACGTGATGGCAGGAAGCAGGAAGGTATATAAGGCATGAGGACCAGGAACTAGAGCCTGGTTAAGCATTTGGCTTTTAGCAGCAGCTAAGATTCATTCTGGATGAGGACTCAGAAGCTTCCAGTCTGAGGAAACAGGATTGGCTGAGGAATTGGAGAGGTGAGGTTGGCTGTGGTTTGTTCTGTTTCTCTGATCTTTCAGCATTTACCCCAATACCTGACTCCAGGTTTGATTTTATTAATAAGACCTTTTAAGAGTTGTGTTACATCAGGGGTACACATACACAGAGAAAGATAGAGAAATAATAAAATGAAGGAAAGTCATTTGGTTGCAGTTGTAGCTATGTAGGGATCTCATTTATCTTTTTTTAATTTCTGATTTTCTTTTATTTTTTTTTTAAGTTCAGGAGAAACCTTGGGAAATTTGAGATTCTTCCATAAGTTTGTGAGTTATCTTTCTCCAAGTCTAGAATATAATGTAAAGTTATTTGTGAAAATCTCCAAATTCATACTTAGTGTAACCTTTTAACCAATCTAGAGCCAGTTGGGAAGGGACCCAAAAGCTGTTGGTTTAAAAAGGAGAAGTTAGACATGAGCCCCACATTTGTGGAGAGGGTAGAAAAAAGATGTGGAGGGGAGGCATGTGACGTGTGACATGACCAGTCTGGATTCTGATGATATCCTTCTCCTTCACAGATACTCAATGCCATCTTTAAAACATCCATCAGCATGGTGAAGACAGGAATGCTAATTGAGTGTTTTTAGCATAATAGAAAATCAATTTTAATTGTCCCAAATGGAACTATTGTTTACAGTTACAGATGGCTGCCAGGCTGGACCTGGAAAAAAATAAATGAGTCTTGGGAGTAGGGAATTGCTTTCAATTCCTGGGAGTATTGCAAGGAAGGCTTTGGAGAATTCACTCTAAGAAGGTTGTAAGGCAGAAAACTGATTGCCTATAAAGGTTTTAAAATGGTGTTTTCCTCTAGGACTGTGCTGTAACTGGTATCATCAATTTCCACCTTGTCAACCCCAATCCTGGTGTTTCCATAGGAGGGTGGGTTCCCAGAGTAGCTGCTGCCAGCAGGGTTTAAAATCACCAGCGACTCAGTCTCACTGCTTCTACCTGGTTCCTTGTTGCATATTCTTTTTCTTCCTTGGACTTTTCTTCCAAAAGAAAGCTTTCCTGTTATTGTTTCGCTTTTCATAACTGTAGAGATTTGAGTATGGGGTTTATGTTCAATTAGCCTAAAATGCTCTCCTGGGCAATATCGCACTTTAGAAGAACCAAGCCAAGCACTTCACTACTGACTGTGTACCTTGAATGAGTGACTTAATTCATTTCCTTAGCTGTAAGGGCAAGCGAATCGACAGCTGCTAGTAGACAAGTCTGGTATTAATCAGTTCATTGAAATCAAGCTTCTAGCAGAAGCCCTGCTGTGGAGCTCACCTCAAAGATGTCAGTTAGTAATCTTCTTTATTCCCTTCTTGCCTCCTTTAATGAATAGTTGAAACACATCATACACAAAAATATGTAATTCTTCAAGTGAAACATGTCAGGGAGGAACAAAACTAAGAAATAGGAAGTGCAGGCTCACTCTAGGTAACTATCACCGTGCATTGCCTGAAGATGGTCCTGATGAGGACTCCTTGAATTCTTCAGATCCCTGGAGAATCAGAATCCCAATGTCTGTATCTTTCCTTGGCTTCCTAGTTCATGCTAATACAAATTCTGGTTTAAGAAGTTTGAACTAAGGAAAATGGTCAGTCCTGAATTTTTAGTTGTTGATAGACACATGTGGACCCTGAAACTCCTGTTTGGTAGGGCATTTATTTTATAGCCAAAGTACACTGGGTTGGGTGGCCATTAGCAAGCTCTAATGGCACTCCTGATTGTGTGTGATACAGAAATAATCACTTTCAGATGATCCTTGATGTTCTTGGGCCTGACTCTAGGATTTTCCTCTAAAAACAATAGGCTCTCTTTTGAAGAATTGATCCTAAATCCCATCATATTGATAATCAAGTAGCCATCATACACAAGTACAATATTAAAAGAATAAGGAAAAATGCAAGACATATTGTATATTATCTCTTAAATCAGGCCTTTAAACTGTAAGTAAGTTAGCATTTTGAGCTATTTACTTCTTAATGTAATGTGTTTCGGGAGCAGAGGAATTATCATGACATTGTAAAATGTTTAGTTTTTCATCATTCTTGGCTTTTATCCATTACATATCAGTAGCACATCTCAGCTGTAATAATCAAAACTGTCACCAGACATTGTCACTTATTCCCTAGGGAATAGAAATTATCCCACTGGGCACCAATTTTCTTGTTCTTTGCTGTAATATTAAGGTATTAAATGGAAAATAAAGCTAAGACCAGTTTTTATGGCAGTGATAAAATACCTGAAATGATTGAAAAAGAGAGTAAGTTAGTTTGGGCTCATTGTCTCATAGCAAAAGAGTTTGTAGTCACTTGGCCCTGTCATCTACGGACAGTGATGGCAAAGTTCATCATAGTGGGACATAGACTTAGGGAGGCAACTTAATATGGTGTCCAGAAACCAAAGATGGAGGAAGGGTCTGGGGTCTCAGTATCCCCTTCAAGGGTATATTCCCACTTACCCAACTTTCTCAAAACTTATAACCTAGGGGCCTTTGGGAGAGATACTGGGTTAAACAATTATAGAGCAACTAAGAAGTCAAAAGTTTCCAGTGTTTAATTAAGCCAACATAGAGAGGCTATCCCTTCAAAACCACACAGCTTTACAAAGAAGTCAGGGAGCTCTCGTGGTACTGTGGAGCTGGGCTAGGCCGTCTCTCTGAGGACTCCCTGGTTTTCTTACGTATGAAGTTTTACTGAACCAGAGTCGTACAGCTCCTACTGCACCAAATAGGGGACAATGCCTTTCAGACAGTTGATGTAGGACTTAGATGGTGAATTCACCAATTAACAACAAAAAATGGGACTATTAAAAGTATGCTCTCTCAAGCTGATATGAATGGCACTTACGATTCCTGGGTCAATTGTGAGAGAAGGGTGATTAGACATTCATAGTAAGCATGTCGAGAGAACCAGGAATTTACAACCTGAACTGTTTGCTGTGAGCAAGTTGCCAATCACTACAGGAGGTTTACTGGTGCTGTTCCAATAGAAGA